TCTATGTTTCAAACAAAAAGTTACGTTACAGACCTCATTTCGGGGGCGATAAGAAAAATTCATACCGTTTTGTGTTCTTTGGTATCTTACCAACCATTGCCCTTCTTGGTGTCCTTATCGCCCCCTCATTTATGCCGCAAATATTGACGATGAAAAAAAACGGCGTAATCTAGTTATCCTTTCCATAAGTGGCGTAATCTAATTATCTGTTCAAGTGATACTTACATGCAAATAAGTTGAGAAAATCAAAACACGCAGGATGAAACTGGCTCCCACTGTATTCGACATCCTGTAATTATAATATCCAAGCCACAGGTCAAGCAAAGTAAAGCAAGTAATTTCTCAATAATCAACTTGTTAGTGTGCTTGTCTCCTACCATTTTCACCAAAAAATGTTTATATTGACCTGAAGTGTATGAGTATTGCGTAAGCCAGAGTTCCCGGATGTATCAATTGTGGTTCAGCATGGGGGGAAATGATATTAATATCACTTTACAAACATGCGCCGCCCAACTCGTACAAGCGAAATTATATAAAAAGTCGGCTAGTTATGTATTCATTGCAACATGATGTATCGGAAAATAGCACTTCCTTCTGGAGGTTAGTACTCCTTTAATGTGTTTGTTTATCTGTATGCTAGAGTCTATTTTCTGACACTATTTCTCCCCCCCCCACTCCTCTCTCTCTCTCTGGATCTGTATGGCGTTCAGCACCAAGGACAGATCCACACTTCGCCTAAAGGGAAGGTCTAGATACCTTAAAAGCAGCTGTGACAGTTATAAGAGGCATACTTTGAAGCTTATCGTAACGCATAAGCCTGTTTTGTGCAATGATATCATACACGTAGTTTTTGTTTAATAAACACTGCTATACAACTTTAAAAATCAATCTATCTATTTGTTTATGAGATGTAAGTTATTTTCTCAACAGGATTCAGATGTTGATATTCCAGAAAGAAACTCTTTATTTTGTACACTAAGCGATATGCCGTTATAACATCAATGTGTTTGTTTATCTTTATGTAAGAGTCTCAATTATTTTATGTGGGTGCACCAGTAGTGCACCCAAATATTTTCGTAGGTTTACGTATGATGTTAAATGTATTGTAGTGTACAGTATATTCTTAACGTCAAAGTGTTAGAAAAATAATAAAACATTGTTATAACACTGTATTAATGAAACATAATTAGTTTTTGATGACATTCTTACTTTATCTTATATAGTGCACCCAAAATTTTTTTAGGTAGGGTGCAACAGTGCACCTATTCTCACTAAAATGAATTTCGAGCCCTGTGTCATTATTTTTAGGGAATTCCATGGAGCTCAGTTCCCTTCATTCTCGCTGGGTGGCATCAGGGCAAAGCCGTCTTCTTCGGCCCCGGTGAAATCGAAAAGCCGAGGTTCGAATTCTGTATAAACACAAAAGAGGCTATCAGTCAACTCTCAAACTATTTGACAAAATTCCCCAAAATCTGGTCAGAAACTGGGCAAAATTTTGACTCAAGTGTATGGCGACTTTTTTTTATAATAGATGATGTTTACTCTATCCTTGGTGCTGAACGCCATCCACAAAAATCAAGAGAAAAAGGGAAGCAAGGAGTTCATTTTTCAAGGAGAATCTCATTGGAGGGAGAAAGCAGAAAGTGACAGATTTGTGTGCAAATAGATGGACATGTTTAATACACACCACTAGCACTACTGGAACTACGCTTTCCGCGTATCTTGCTGGCTCCGCCTTTCAGTTCTGCGGTGTCCCGGAGGTCACGGACCTCGCGGCTTTGGCCCTCAAAGTTCTCAGCCACATCCACCACGCCGAAACCGCCGCCCTTATAGCTACGGTCGCGGCGCCTGGCTCCGTCCGCCATGACGGCCATGGCGATCAGCAACACCAGCAGGGTTCTCATGAACTTTCCCATACCTTCACCTGCAGGGGAAATGTAATTAATTCGTTCATTGCAAATTCATGCCCAAGGGCTAATTGCAAGTACAGAAGAAACATTTGGTACAAAAACAAGCAATTAATACACAAAGAACTGTTGTTAACTCCTAAAAGCTACTGGGTTTGGCTTTTTTTAAGACAGAGGAAGACAAAAGACCCCACTTTTCCCAGAATTTGTGGGTTTTCGGATGTTAAGAAGAGAGTAGTTTTATTTTCATTTGTATATATGTGAAGGTTATGGTGGAATTTGGAGGCTGCGTCAAAGAGTTCATTTCGTTCATTGCTATATAGAGACTACATGAATTTGAGATAAAATGTGTTTCGTCTGCCGTCACTGGTCTTGTGCGAGGATTGGCATCACAATAAGATTATTAGACACAATTTATAACACGCCCATAACAATATTAGCAATTTTCACTGCCCATTCTCCATCCATTGTTTTCGTGAGGCGTAGAGAGGTATTTAGTTCAGTTCATCGTATACGCTGAGGGTTAAATAGTTGGTGATTTATTTGAGTCTATGTAATACATGTATTTATTGTTCTAAATTCGTATAGCGGTATTAGTTAATCGTTCTCATCATGTAATCCAACGCCATGCAGATTGTATCATGATAGGTATAGATAGACCCTGGCACACATTCAGAACCTTCGAATTCCCAGGCCTACTTTATATACGAATTGAATTTGAGTTGGATCTGAGTCATGGTCAAACGTGTTCGAACCTCGCGTTCACACCCCAGTGTTTTAAACATTTTGAAACATCCGGCTGGCGCAGCCGAACTGTAGCCGACATAGCTTAGTGTGTACTCATGCATATATGTCAGCCATGCTGAAGGTTAATACAGTTCAACTTTGGGAGATACGGAGAAAAAGAGCAATGAAGCTCGAATAAACACACTTACTACAAGCTTAGGCACTAAAAAGTGAAAATAAATCTAGATGTTGCAGCGACTTCTCTAGTTCAATTACTACATACTTTAGACAGATTTCTTTAAAATGACTTCTTTAAAAAATACGGCTATCATGAAATATTTCGTTGTACGTACACGTAAATTAAATTTTTACCAAGCGGTCTCAGGACGTTTCCAGTTGAAGAGACTAACAAAACAACGGTGTGTGTTCGCTGGTGTCTCTGACGGTGAGTTGTGTGGTACATACAAACTCCTGGATTTATGTGTACAATATATATGTCACAGGGGAGATTGGAATCCAGGGGGATCCGGAATCCTCCTAGGGGAGATTGGAATCCCTATCTCCCCTAGGAGAATCTGGAATCCTCCTAGGGGAGATAGGAATTTGTCCTAGGACAAGTGGGAATTCTTACAGGACAATGTCCAATTTTAAAAGGAGAAATTCCGATTGCATCAAAATGCTTGGGAAAAAAGACTGAGTTATTTCACACCTAAACTTTCAATCAATTTCAGCATAGGTAAGTGAATATGTAAATCAGACTCGGATATTTGCATCAGGCCATTGTGAGATAGTGACTCAAAGCCAGTTTTTCCAGTTTGTTAGTGACTTGGTATATATGGGATTGTTTCCGCTACCAAGCCAGTCAAAGTGACTGACAGCATACTGAACAAGTGATGGCGGAGGATGAACAGCAGCAGAAAGCAGTATATATATATTGTCTATGCTGAAATAATTGAAAGTTTAGGTGTGAAATGATTCAATCTATGAATTCTAGTATTTCTTCTACCAAGGAGGTTAAATACAAGATGAATTGGGATCTGAATATCAGGATTCCAATCTTTCCTAGGAGGATTCCAGATTCCCCTAGGGGAGATAGGGATTCCAATCTCCCCTAGGAGGATTCCGGATCCCCCTGGATTCCAATCTCCCCTGTGACATATACAAAACAACAGACACCCAGCTGATAGGTGCGCAGCAGAGTGAGACCACCAGTACACTAGACTGCGATCGATGTACAGACTATGGTAGGATCTGCGTGAACCATAGTTTCAAAAAGCAGCGCAATTGCCCCATGTGATTTCAATACGTTGCAAGCTTTTAAAAGTAAAAGAATTATTCAAAAGACAACCAAACTCACACTGTAATAAATGTGGTATTTATCTGTTGACGAAAAGTCGTTGAGCGTTCTTTGGTCGCTGAGTGGTCGAATGGAAAGATGACGAAACGTTTAAGTAGAGCTGTACGTGGCAAACATAGTTTTACAGGTAGCAGCTTGCATATATGTAAAAACGACGTCCCCAGATAGAGGAAAGACGGCCTTGTAGGTCGTTGACTAAAAATGTATTAAATCAATTTATCTATCTGTTTATTTGAGGAATATTATTTTCTCAACAGCGTAAGAGGATTCAGATGTTTGTGTTGCAGAAAGAAATTGACAGCTCTTTATTTTGTACTCTGAGCGATATGCCGTTATAAAATCAATGTGTTTGTTTATCTATGTGCCGGAGCCTACTAGTATTTTCTGAATGGTGCATTATTTCTCTCTCTCTCTCTCTCCCTATATATATATATAGTATAGATAACACACTAAGAAGACTGGTGCCCCTGCCCCTAAATAACACACCAAATAAAATCTTACCTTAAACGCCAAACAACATTTTACTAAACATTGTACAGTTAGAGTTTTAAGACCTCATGCCAAATGATGTTAACTTTATGGCTGACGAGTTAAAGATTGTTCCCTCTGATTAGGTCATGTTGATTTGATTATATGGATGACATCCGCGAGCGCATGAATTTCCGGCCGTTTCCACAAAAAAAGTTTTCAACCATACTGTAAATCGTAGAAAACAGTTGCAAAATGAGCAACAATATACCGTAAGTTACAAAAAAATAATAAATAAAAACTATGAATGCCAAAATCAAACGACAAAAGACGAAATTGTAAAGAAATGAACTTGAAGACTAGATTATTCGCCAAACCATATTCTGTCCCATTTTTTCAACCTTCAAAACCACGTACATTTCATAATGAAAACAACTTTTTTTTTGCAAACTTTTTTTTTATTCGCAAGCGCGCATCAGTTTTGAGGTTCCCGGAGGATGTCATCCATATAATCAAATCAACGTGGCCTTATGCAAAAACTGCTAGGTGTGCTTGTAGTGTTTGAGTGTGCGAGCGGAGGGGTCTTCGCTCTTGCTCCACGGTTGCATCCAGTAGTAAGGGATCCACTTGGACTTGCTGGGGAAGTGTTTCTCGAAGATCTGGCGGTAGTAGTAAGCCTCCTTGGTACGTGGAGGGTTAAACGGGAAGGTATTGGGGGCGTCTTCCATCATCTGATCATTGATCTGTGAGGTAAAGACATGAATTAATGAATAACACCTAAATGAATTTATAGTTTAATCGGCAAATACCTCACAGACAAAAGGTGCACGACAATTGCACGACAAAAGTATAGCGACAACTTTTTTCAATAACAAAGCAGGATTTTATATATTCACCTATTTTTGCATTGTGCGGGTTATTGCATTCAAAGATATTATTCAAATCTGTCTGTAGCATCGAGTCTCTTGAAATCTGTTGTACTTGATTTGAGAAATGTAAATAGCTTGTTACATCAAACTCCACATCTACACTGTAGCATCTTTCTGTTTCCACATTCCATTTATAACTGCTGATTCTTAACCGGGTTATCGTTTTACGGATTTCAAATGTATCAATACCATACAGGTATGTTTTATGTTCATAGCAGTTTTTTTTCCGATTTCTTAAGAAATTTTTAAATTATTTCAGAAACAACTAAAAAAACTCTTTTGCGCATGTGTATCTCATAGGCATAGCCGGAAACGAAGTTGGTAATGTGGGTAGGTAATATAACCTACATTAAAATTCAAGAGGTTTTATCCATATATGTCCATGGCAATTGAGAATGACCTTTAAAACATGTTACATAAAGAGGTCATGGGCACAGGGGTTTGATTCCAGGCTAACCATTTCTTCTAGCTCTTGCAATGCCATACAGACAATGGACAAAAGACATCAAATTTGTCAAGCTTTAGTCACCTGCTCTTCCACATATTCCTGGAGGGTTTCGTACCACGATTTCTTCACAGACGACACACCGTCGCTGAATCCCTCCTTCGGGCGCCACAAGATCTCATCGGGCAGGAGGCCCGTTCCGTCAAACGCCTTCCGGAGGGTGTACTTCTCGATCCCGTCCTTGGCTCGTCTCACCTCGGCCGGCAGGGACAGGTAGTAGCCGGTGAACATGTGGTCCAGGAAGGGCACACGCAGCTCCAGGCTGGAACAAGAATTCAAATCAGAGATTCCAAACTCCCGTGAAGTTTGAAATCCTCAAAATCCTCGAAAAATAAGATTAAAAGATCGATAACTTATTTTTATTGGTCAATTGTGACTTCTGGCTTACCCATGAGCACTTGGCATTCTGTCCGCCCTCAAGACGTCGTACAGGTACAGGTCTTCCAGCAACCGTCGGCTCTCCACATCCGCCTCCTCTGCAGAAGGAGCCTATAGATGTGAGTAGAAAACTTCATTAACAGGTCATATCTAAGCTGCAGAAGTCGATATACATTCAAAAGCACGTAAAAATAATTTGCTTTACCCTTGAAGATAAATCAATGCATTTTTGGACAGACGTAGAGTCAGGTTAAGTCAAAGTTTACAAGTGCACAGCAAATGCAGGTACAATGTAAGGCAAAGGTTTTTTTTAATGAGATCTCGAAATTATTAGACTTTGGCCCCCCTGGCGGATTGGGCTAGAGAAGAAGTGACGTAAGTTTTTTTTTTTTATAATCATTGAAAAACTTTAATAATTCTTCAACATTCGTCAAGCTTAACATTATTTGGCGAAGGCATGAAGTCGTGGAACACTTAGTTACATCTATTACAATCTAGTATGCATAATTTTTAAGATACCCAAAACAAGTATATAGGAGGCACAATGTGGAAAAACAGCAAGGTATAGATTAATACTATTAGTCCCATATCCTTTTTAAGCCTTAGGGGAGGTGGGTTGTTAGTCCACTGTTTCTTGGGCACGGTTCCCATCTCTCTCCTTAAAAACTGTAACGTCGGCGGAAAACATTCAGTGTCTTCAAGACTACCTTTTTTTACTCAACAGTTAATATGATTTGTTGTTAATTTTCCATTTTGCTTTTAGACATTGATATGCAAATTCAGTCCCATTATTATTTATATCATTTGTCATATTTATTTCGTATGTTTTATGTTTTTTATTAGTCTGTTTCTTTTTTTTTATTATTACCTTTTGATTGTACTTAAGTTACCTTTTATTATGTTATGTATGTCACAGGGAGCTTTGAAAAGCGCCAAAATGGCGATATGCTAACCTGTATAAATAAAATGAAATGAAATGAAATAGGCAGATAAAATGTACACCCGCCTTGTTGAAGAAGATGTATCCTTGAGCTAGTTCGTCAGATCCCTCCCCGGAGAAAATGACGACAGAGTCTGTCTTGGTGCGTATGTATTGACACAACAGGTACATAGCTAAAACAGACGGACAACATTTACCTTCATAAATCGTAGTGTTGCCTGGCTAAATATAATGCCTCTTGCAACACTTCTGCTGGTCAGGGCCCAGACTCTTGATGACCAATGCCTCTTAGTCACGGAAATTTTAAACATTCTACAAATGTAACGTTGTTCGTCTATTCCAAGATCAGGGTGTACTTGGGCCAATTTTTCAAGTATCAAAATGTTTCACTTTCAGTATAGAAACTTGAAGTACAAGTGATGAATGATACTTTTTAAATTTTTGATAGCGATGAGCGGTTTTAAAGTTGCGCAGCTTCAAACTTGAGTCCATTACTTTGCAATGGCACTGTATAGCTATAGACACTAATAGATGAATTCTTTGGCACGCCTGATATGGCACTCCAATTTTAGCTGCTTAGAATCAGTGACAAGTAACGTTATAAGAGCTGCAGTATTACTTTTACAAGTCTAGGTGATCTATCCCAGCAGCCAGCTCAAAACAAGGACATTAACTACATGCCACCAATGAGAAATTATGGCACTCCTATGTGTATTTTTAAAAACCAAGGCCATGTTGATTTGATTATATGGATGACATCCTCCGGGAGCCCCAAAACTGATGCGCGCGTGCGAATAAAAAAAAGTTTTGCAAAAAAAAAGGTGTTTTCATTATGAAATCTACGTGGTCATGAGGGTTGAGCAAATGGCACAGAATATGGTTTGGCGAATAATCTAGTCTTCAAGTTCATTTCTTTACAATTTCGTCTTTTTTCGTTTGATTTTGTCATTCTACGACATTGGTATAGTTTTTACTAATTTTTTTTGTAACTTATGGTATATTTTTGCTCATCTTGCAACTGTTTTGTACGATTTACATTATGGTTGAAAACTTTTTTTTTTTGGAAACGGCCGAAAATTCATGAGCGCGCGGATGTCATCCATATAAGCAAATCAACATAGCCCAATCAGGATCATGGACAAGTGAGAGCTGCAGTAGTACTGACCTACAGATGCCCGGACAGTGATAATGTCATAGCTCTCCAGACTGTAGATGACGTCTTCGATGGCCCGGATCCCCTCCTCTGGGGTGAAGGAGACTTCATGGTGCTCACTGCCGATGTACTTCGCAACCTGGAAAATATACACTGTAAAAAATATACCCCGTAATCCATGACCAGGTGAAGTCACATTGGAATCACATTGCGTTCAGACGCAAATCGCGATGCGGGAAAACCGGGTCGAAACTACGGCCGTGTTTATGTGAAGTCACCCAAGGCGCGATTCGGGTAACTCACATTCCTCACATCTGGTGGAACCGTGTCCGATCATAATACGCTTGAGCTACATTTATTGTTGTTTGATGAAAACACGCAAGGTAGCGTGTTATTAATGTCAGAGGTCAACGACCTGCTTGCTGATGCCCCCCTCCCAGTGTATCTCGGCTTAATGCCGACGTGGTCCCGCCAGAGGCGGTGAAGCTCGCTCTAGAACGGACATATTATTTGACCATTACTGCTCTTTAAGTTGCTGCCACGTAAAAATTGGAATTGCATATAAATAAAGAAATATCACCCCGAAATACATGACCAGGCGACGTCACATTGAAATCACATTGCGTTCAGACGCAAATCGCGATGCGGGAAAACCGGTTCGAAACTACCTCCTGAAGTGGTTTCGGATCGAGGAACTTTCGATGTGATTTGTAGCGTTCAGGGCCTGTTCAGACGGTGTCAGTGAAAACGCTTTACATCTGGTTTCCACCGAAGCCGGTTTCATGTGGCCCGGTCTGAACGCTCCAAATCAAGTATTTCAGATCGTGGGGTCGTATGGCGTAGCGGCAGAGTGCGCGACTCGGAACCTAGAGGTCCCGGGTTCGAGTCATGACATGCCACCGATCTTGTGCCCCTGGGAAAGGCACTTTACACGACTTTCCTCACTTAGCTCAGGTGAAAATGAGTATTGTCCTGTAATGTATTTTTCCCCTGTGTTGGTGGCGGCATTAATATAAGTTGATAAAACTTGAGTGTGTCGTCACCACGTCTGGTGATTACATGTTGGAATAAAAAAAAAGTATTTCAGATACCGTACCGGAGGATACATACCAGGATCAAAGTTGGTAACTGCGTTAATGGCATTGTCTATGTCCGATTAATTTTTTACATGCATTAGTGCCAGCCGAGAATTCTGCCTGTGCTGACCCTTGTAATGATTTTTTTCATTGCCAATAAGGCCATGTCGATTTGATTATATGGATGACATCCTCCTGGAACCCCACAATTGATGCGCGCGTGCGAATAAAAAAAAGTTTTGCAAAAAAAAGTTGTTTTTATTATGAAATCTACGTGGTCATGAGGGTTGAACAAATGGGACAGAATATGGTTTGGCAAATAATCTAGTCTTCAAGTTCATTTCTTTACAATTTCGTCTTTTTTCGTTTGATTTTGGCATTCTACGACATTGGTATGGTTTTTTTGTAACTTACGGTATATTTTTGCTCATTTTGCAACTGTTTAGTACGATTTACAGTATGGTTGAAAACTTTTTTTTTTGAAATGGCCGAAAATTCATGCGCGCGCGGATGTCATCCATATATTAATCAAATCAACATGGCCTAAATACAAATTCCAATCCATACCGTCCTGGCAGCCTCCACATCAGGACTGCCCTCCATCCCGACAGCATAAGTCTGGACAGGGTAGATGATGCCAGACTTCTTAGCATGCTTCAGCAGGAGTGCAGAGATCAGACTGGAGTCCAGACCACCTGGCAAAGAGACGACACATACAAATGTGGAGTCTAGCGCTAGTGAAATCTAAATTGAAGTAAGAATATTAGCGGTGAACCACTGATTAATCAAATATAATCAAATATAATTGGATACTATGTAAATCTATGTGTTCATCTTAGCCTCTACAGCTTTTGTTCACAACAGCATGCTACTGTAGGTACCAAATTTCAGAATGAGTAAAAAAAGCACTGGCCAGATGTTTTTTTAAGTACATCTGAGTAATTTTGAGTACACTTGGGTGAATTTTACGATTGCAAAGGTGCCGATTGCTATTGTTCCAACGTCACTTTTTTACGGCGCACTGCCACGGAATTGGCGTGTGCTCCGTTATCGAACGAAGCAGACATAAAATTTTCTCAATAATTGTGCAAATTAGCTCCTGATTTGCATAATTGTCATCTTATTACTAGTATCTTCAGTTACCTACATACCAAAAATCATGACAATCCGTCAACCGGTTCTTGAGCTATCCTCCATTGAAGATTAAAAAAAATCGCTCCTGCAATTACAAAACAAGCCACTAAGGGGCCCAAACTCATGTCACTTCTTTCTACCATCATAAATTTGTGATTCTAGCATGTCCAGATCATACCAAATCGGAAGTTCTGCTGCAGTGCCAACAAAAGCCGCCAGGGGCCCCAAATCTACTAATTTCTAGATCTTATGAGGATCTACTTACCTACCAAATTTCATGACAATGCATATTAAGATTTTTGAGTTATGCTGTTCACAAACAAACAGGAGACAAACCAACAGACAAATCGACAGACAGACAGACAGACGGACAAACGCTACGAAGGTCATTACAGCTTCTCTAAAAGTGTAAAAAAAACAGTGTATACTAAAAAAATGTAAGTACAGTAGACAGCTTTCTTAGGAGTTCTAACTTAGTATTTACAAATACATGTGATGATTTCTGACTAATTTGCATTATCTTGTCTTGACTTGTCTGACTTTTGTTCCTTTTTCGACTTCCAAAAATCTGTCTTCACTTCATTTGCATATCAATCAGTAGTTTGTGCTGATAAACCTGCTTTCCCCTCTGGTCTCTCAGTCACTGACGAAAGCTAGTGGATACTAGCTGAAACGTCTGACGTTTTAAAAATCATATCCAGTTGCTTGAATAACTGCTTTTTGGCGTATCGTATTACCTGGATGTCTAACCTTCATCGACGTACATGTGATGATTGGTTGCCTACCTGATAGCAGACACCCGATCCTACGGCTTCCGATCAGTCGCTTCTTCACAGCTCCTTCCAGGAGAACTCGGATGTTGGTATAAATGTCTTCCTTTTCTAGAACACAACACCAACGTTAATCAATGCAGACAAAAGCTTAAACAAGACTGGCAATGAAAACATACATTGCCATGGCGACGGTGGTTGCTGGTAGGGTTATTGTTTGCATGGCACTGCCATCATTTCATGATTTTGAGGAAGACTTGGTACTTGGACTTAAGTCTAGACAGATACAGTACACTCCTCGCCTGAGTGCATAGTGAACAGGCCCCGGGGTGCAGAAAGTAGGGCCATCTGGGGCCGACAGATCTTCAGGGTTTCAGGAATGTGGGCATAGATGTGGGTCTGAGAAATGCCTGTAGACATTCCGCATGCCTGTGGACAAAATGCCTGTACAATTCCTAGAATTCCTGCGAATTGAACACAATACTGTACCATTAGGCTCCTCCCTGAGACGTCGCCAAAACGATGCTTGATGTAACAACATGTATGATCTGGTAGATTTATTATATTTCAGTAAATAAGACCTAGCTACCATTCAAAATTCGTGACATGTCCAGAATGGGAAAAGTCTAAAGCTTGTATCTAAAAACTGGAAAAAAATGTCACTGTGCTTTTGCCACCTTCCATACCAGCCTTTAGGTCAATTGACCACAACATGAAAGAGCTGAATTCATTTAAAGAAATGGCAAAAAGGGAGAAAAATGAAGATGAAATAAAACAATTTTTTACGGCTCTCAGTGGCAGATATGAGATGTTGTCACATCGGCGCACCAAATCCGTAAGGTGTTTTTGGCACCCTTACAGACAGATTAGCCTACGAGGCTCGGTGGGCGTCACTCCACCATATAGGTGGGGAAGTCGTGTAAAGTGCCTTTCCCAAGGGCACAACGTCGGGCCACGGTGAGTATCGAACCCGGGACCTCTCGGTTCCGAGTCCAACGCTCTAACCGTTGTGCCACCGACGCCACTGCAATAAAACAATACTCAATACATACCTATGACATAGACTGAAAAAAAAAACTATAAAGTTGAAACTTACCCTGTGGCTTGACGAGAGCGTCGTACTTGGGCATGTCTCCAATCTTGTGGAACCTGGCACGTTCCCTCAGAGTGACCTTGCCGTTGGGACTGAGGTCGTACGCCTCAAAGTGACCCGGCGGGAACGGTTCAATGTCAACTTTGTTGTCGTCATCATCATCATGGATCAATCCCATCAACCCTATTCTCAAAAAAAGATATTCATTTATTTCTTTATCACTTAGCACTCCTAGGTACGAAAGTATTGTTTTGGGGGACCAAGCTCTGGATTTGTGCCTGTGAGGAAAGAGTAGGTTGACAGCATATGGGTAGGAGGAAGGTTGACAGACAGAATGACAGGAGATCAAAGTGGCGTGGCGTCGGGTGGTGTAGTGGTTAGAGCTATCGACTATGAACCGGGCAGACCCGGGTTCGATTCCGAGTCGTACCCGGTACATGTCTGAACATGCGCCCCGACGTTGTGCCCTTGGGAAAGGCACTTTACACACTTTCATCACTCCACCCAGGTGTGAATGGGTACCTAACTTCGGTTGGGGAAAGTCATATTGAGGTCACCTTGTGGCGCCGAATGGCAGCCGCACAGACCCTTGCGACAGTTCCACAAAAAATAATTGTGGAACAAATATGTGTATTATGTGTATTATTTGATTGTTGATACCCTACATCAATTCAGCCGTATAAAGGCTGCGACTGCACGGGTACTGTTTGGACAATAAAAACCATTTATTTGGACAATAAAAACCATTTATTTATTAAAAGGTTTGACACAGGAAGTGAAGTGAATGTGAACGTCTCAGAATCCGACCGGAAGCCAATAAGAATTGGTCAACATGAGGGAATTCAGCAGGCCGATGATTACATACATCCTGGAAGTCTACAAAGATTTCTTGTCTATGTTTCAAATGGTAAGAGTTTGTGTCACATAGACTACCAACTCTCCACCCTATAACACTTTTCTTACAGAAGTAATTAGTAAAATTAGAATCAGTGCCCACCCCTTGGAAATCGAAAAAGGGCGATATATGAAACTACCTGTGTCGGAGAGAATTTGTAAATATTGCTGCTCAAATGCAGTGGAAGACGAAATTCATTTCATCTCTAACTGTCAAATTTATGACGACATCAGAAATCAATTATTTACCACCGTGTCCAAAATGCTGCCTTACTTCCCCACTATTCCTTACCACAAAAAAGCAATTTTGCTACTAAAATAAAAAAACCCACATATTATAGAAGAGGTGGGTAAATTCGTCTTTCATTGCCTAAAAAGAAGAAGTCAAACCCAGCAAAACTAGTGTCATGTCATGTTGTAGCATATAGTATAATGTTAGAAGTAGATATAGTCTCACATATCACTGTATTTTCTTTCTATGTTGTTTGTAACTGCAATTAGCCCTCGGGCAAGTACTAGTATTTGCAATAAACTTTCTATATTTCTTACAGACTCACCCTTAGCCTCCGAACAGACGGCCAGAAAGCCATCATCCTTCAGCAGACGGAACATGGGTCGCACCCCGTATGTATCTCGCCCAAGGTAGACCTGGGAGCGACAGAAATATTTGCAACATTAAGGATGGCCATATTTCTGGATTTTGTACAAAGTCACACTGAAAGAAAAAACACTGAAATAATGTCTAACTGCAACGACTCGTGTATAGGTATAAAGGTGTATGTGGATTTTTTTTGTTTACTGTAATAATTTTTGCCACCTGAATTTAAAGCTTTCCTTTTGCACTCAAGCGTCAATGGGCATCCGTAGGATGTCTATATATATATATATATATATATATATATATATACTATAGTAGAAGTAGTTAGTTGTT